TTCATGAACCGAAAATTTATAGAATCAAAAGTACCCAGAAGTCAGTAAAAAACAATAACTCTCATGGACCGAAACTGCTTGTGAAAGGTCTTGAATAGAAAAGTCAGCCTACTCCTTTTGGCTTAGAGACAACATTTCTAGAGTCCTTTTCATATGAGGAATTCATAACACACATCGGTGAGCGCGAAAATTCAAAGGGTAAGGAAACAAACGATGTTTTTCGACAGGCAAGCTTTTTACCGATTTTGAGACATTCTCAGTATTCCACGTTTTTCTCTATCAATACTTTGTCTAAACATGGGACATGAGAGACAAAATCCTTTTTCTTTTAACCAACAAAATGCTCCCAGATCTCGTACGAAAAAACTTGCTGATTGAATAAGTCAAAAAGTCTGGCAAGGAAAAGAACCCTGCATAAAGGTACGAAACATATCCGAATTTTTAGGCACAGACAATCCACGAGTTTCCTACCCCAAATTCTGCAGGATCCTGCAAGAATGCTAAATCTTTTTTCCAGTACGCACATTCAACTTTTTCGTAACACGAAGGGTTTTCCCGGTGTTGAGACTCTCAGGATATTTCCAATTTGTCTGCGTGAGAACGTGCACTGAGCAGGCTAAAAAGGTAATATTCCTGATCAGTGTGAAATTCTCTATCGAATGATGTACGGTCAAGGAAATTCGAAACTTCCACGCTTTTTCTTTTCTCTTTTTCTATACATCATTCGATGCAGATTTTTGCGCCGAACCCGAATATGTGTATTTTAACCTGTCGAATCAAAATTTTAATGTCGAAAATATAGAAAAACTGAAAATTTTAAAAAATAGCTTAATTTTGAAAAACCAACATAAAACTCGAACAGAGTGTGTTTGGGAACCTTGGGAGCTTCTTATTCTTATTTTGCAGTTTTCACCGTCAAACTTCCGTTTTTTTGCGAAACCAATACCACACTTGGAATCAGCATCAAAAACTGTGTTCGAGTTTTACGTTGGTTTTTCAAAATTAAGCTACTTTTTAAAATTTTAAAATTTTCGTTTTTTTTATATTTTCGACATTAAAATTTTGATTCGACAGGTTAAAATACACATATTCGGATTCAGTGCAAAAATTTGCATCGAATGACGTATAGAAAAAGAAAAAAAAAAGCGTGGAAGTTTCGAATTTCCTTAACCTTATAAGAAAACCAAAGTAAAAATGTGCTGAACTTTTGAATTAGCGGTGCTTTACTAGAATACCTAAATATAGTTTGATTGAGACTGGCGAGGATCTATTGCTGCGGCAACCTAAATGTAATATTAGAAAGTATAAGAATATTTTGAATATAAATGGATATTACTATGTGTACAAATATTGTGCAGATTAGTAAAGGAGGCTTTGAAATATTGTGAATGTTAGGAATACAGAGAACCGTAGTAATACTGTGAATATTAGGAATAGAAGGAAGTATAGAAATATTGTGGATATAATGTTGTTATATGACTACTTTTTACTGGTGATAATTGTTGGTTGTTCGAACAAATAAACTGCACGGTCGAATCTATACGACGAAGACGTTGATTTTAATCCTTTAATCGTAGAATTTTGCTTTTGTTTTCACCTTTAGAAATACTTAGTTTTAGGCTGTTTGAATTGTGTGCTTGACTCACATATTTTTTGAGCTTCATACAGTTTTCTAAAATGACAGCTCTTAGCTATGAATTTTTATCAGGAAAGCGATGAATCTAATTTTCCTACCCTTTCTTGTCAGATAGATTTTGGCGATATATTAGTATTATGCGCATTATTCTCGGTGTAGTTTATCATGTAATGTTTTTTACGAGCAGTATTTCGATCTGAAACGTACAAAAAACATTTATCATTACTATTTTGCGGGAAAAAGGAAGATCTATACAAGAATACAAACACTGCGATTTTCTTTGCTTGCTTGTAGATACTTGTGTTTGCTCAAAAAACAAAAGAGTTAATGGCGGATCGTTGTGATATTAGTCAAAGATTTTATGCTCTACGAAGTGTTAACAGTAATAATAGTAGTACAGTAGTTGGTGAAAACGCCAACGAGCTAAAAGTACGTTAGTCTTTTAATTGCACAACAACGTGCTAAGTTAAACTTTAAAATTCTCTTATTCGAGGGTGATAAAACAGGTGCTTCAAACACACTTTGTACTGCTACAGCAGTAAAACGGAGTCATTCACCACGAATCGAACATGCACACGAAAGTAATAAAAGAATCCGCGTAAAAGACGAAGTAGGTGAAGATACCTTTTAATTCAACAACTTCATGCCAGGATAAACTTATAAACTTCTCTTATTCCAGGGTGTTAAAACAAGTGCTTCAAGCACGCTTTGTGCTGCTACAGCAGTAAAACGGAGTCATTCACCAAGAATCGAACATGCCCACGAAAGTAATAAAAGAAGCCGTGGAGAAGATGAATTAAGTGAAGATACGGTAACAGTGGACCCTGGGACAAATACAACTGCAGCCGTCGAACGAAAGCTCTTAGATATAGAACTTATTGAAGTAACTGATGAAGAACTTATCGATTTTGCAATAAGTATGGAACGTCGCCATCCCGAATTCTTTACACCATCTGGTGCACTAGCTAAGAAGAAACAGTAAAAAGCAGAAGATCGGTATCAAAATGGCACTTGCATAAACTTGAACGTAGTTCAGCTTCGTGTGTTCTATTTCTGTTTTCTTCAGATTCATTTGAACTGACTTTTGTATGTACATGCTGATTTCTGAAATAAAAAAGTTTACCATACGCTCTTTGCTTGAGGTAGTTCCATTTATACATAGCTCTGACATTTACGAAGCGATCACGATTATTGGTTTTCATCGACTGACCGACAATAAGCGATATAATCGAAATAATCCTGCATGTCTCCTTGTAAATAGGGAACTGGTTACTTGACATGAAATAAAATATAATGTTTTATTTTAGATACCTATTACGCTAACTATGACCTCAACAGAGGGAAACGAAAAGCTGATTAATAAGCGCGAGAGAGCATGTATCCGACAACGTCTTCATAGAGCAAATTCAGATGGTCCGTCACTTGGAGCTAAACGTGAAAAAGACCGTGATCGAAAACGTTTAACACGGGTCAATGCGACGGATGAAGAAAAGAATGTGGTTCGTGTTAAAACTCGCGATCGTGTACGGCGACTGCGTCTACTACAAACTCCGTGGAAAAAGCAGCAGGACCGGGAAAAACAGCGAGACCGTATGCGTTTGGTTCGAATTGTGGAAGCGGAAGATGGAAGACAACTGCACCGGGATAACAATGGCGTAGAACGTTCTTGTATGACAGATGAAGAAAAAGAGTCGTTCTGGGAAGAACGTGATGGTGAACAGAAGAAATTAAAACGGGCAAATGCACTCAAAAATCAAGAAAAAAGTTATTTTTCGTCTACAGATGACGATGTACAAGAATCTGATGGAGCTTCTATAAGCGCATGTGTAGCAGATAAGTTAAGCATTCTGGGTATACGGAGTTCAAACAAGCTCGAATAGAACTCTTTTCTTGTCGTCACGTCCGGAGAATCATACATTGGAGAAGATACTACCGTTAATGGTGATGACTGACATTGAGCAAAGTTTTGGACACAAGCTTGCTTTTGTATACATATATATTTTCTTTTTTGTATGTCAATATCTATATATCAGGTTTTTCAGTTATGTGGACTTCTATTTCTGCTTTGAATATTAAATAAGAGTTCAAGTTAGTTCTTTTTCCTGTTTCTGTTATCAACGCGATGGTATTATATATATATATATATATATATACATATTCACTTTTTTTGACGAAACTCATTCGATCATCAGATGGGGTGCCGTATGCATGTAATCTGCCTCAATTTTGTTCGAGATGGAACACCTTTATAAAGTTTGTAGGTTAAAATGTATAGCATATAAAATTTGTTCTAAATTGCTGACATATTCTGTGAACACTCTGGGTCATACCGATAGCAAGTTCTCTTTGACGACTTGTTGTCCGCGTAGTCTTTTGTTCGACTCTGTTCTAAGAAAAAATGATACATTCACATAATACACGTGAACTAAGTGCAAGGCAGATTCTTGTTTTGTTAACTGGTTTCACGTTAATAACTTTGCTAGTTTGTTCTTCGATAATCAGCTGCAGCCTATAGACGTGTGGTTCTATGTTCTGAAGACAACGTGTTGTCTATATAAAAACAGAAGATTGATCTGTCATATGTTATCGGTGGTGGAAATAGAGTTTTTAAAAACCAACTGCTTTTTTTATTGTAGAATAAAACTTATTTGTAAAATGGTGCATATTAACGTCTTACCTGACGAATTATTGATGATCATACTGGAACACCTAAAGCCTGATGATATGCGATCTGTTCGTAATGTGAGTAAGCGTCTTAATAGTATTCTGGATGACTATCGTCTACGAATTAATATGGTAAATCTAACTGAACAATCGTCCACTAATAATGTGAAAAATTATATAACAAACGTTTTGCCATTA